AGTGATATCGATCAAAAAAAGTAAAATATATTTCTGTCCGGTTGAGAAAAGCATTCTTATATTCCACCCGCCAAACAACTGCCGGGCGGATTTTCTTAATCAATCAATATCCAGCCAATTTTTCGAACCTCATATTTGGGTCATTAAACAGAAAGCTGTTACAACTTTGATGGCATAACACAAGCATGCGAAAAAGCATTTCAAGTCATTTCGCATTTTATACGACAGCGTTGCTTTCATGCTAAAAGATGAGGGGTTGACTTTTCTAGCGTTCACAATTCGTTCATTCGTTTCGATGATAAATTGGTACTGGCGCATTACTGGGAGAACCAAAACTGCCATCATCTTGTTTCTAAGCAACTCTAGCACTCCGATAATAAATGCACAGGATGCTATTATTTCTGTCTAAATTTATGGCACTATAAAATGCGTGAACATCGCAAAAGGGAAGTGCTGTTTGCGGATGTGCGCATTTGGGAATGTTTCGGCGAAAGTGAGTGGGTCAGCAATTACGAAATTTTTCAAAACAATAAAAACGCCTCGGGGCATCAATTATTTGGTGATGAAAGCATTGGTAATAAGTTGTCGTCAAATCATCATCCACATCGCGCGAACATCTCGATATTCTCATCTTCATTGATAATAACATCAACATCAGCGTCAATCATAATCACTGCGCCCACACAAACATCCACATCCGCCTCCGCACCTTCCCTACTTTATCTTTTGCATTTGCTTACATGCGATAATTTTCGTGGCTTACCCTGGTAGTAGCCAAACTCAGTTTAAGTGTCATCTTGTGACCTGAAAGTGGCTTCCAAATCGCCTTAATAGAGGAAAACCCGAAGCAGTTAGAAAAAAGTTCGGAAAATGCTGATGCGCCCAACGCAAGCATGCAAACAGATGATGTCAGTCTTGGCCAGGAAATAAATAAGTGCTGCAAACTTCAGACGGGAACTTTAGAAGGAATGCCGATTAGCGTAAATTTCACGGTGTTCTCTTAAGAACCGTACCCACTTTTCAGTACAGTTGTGCTGAGTGAGATGACCTACGGGTAAAAAATGTGTTTCGTGACGAAAATAAAAGAACAAGCGCTTGCTATGACAGGGAGGGAGAGTTTTTTCACGCTTTCTCGACATGGGGTCTCAAAAAGTTTGGTTGCACATCGAAAAGGCGGGCACCAGCTGAAAGTATATGCTTGGAAGTGATGACTCTGCTATTGGAGCACCCCAGTGAAACCTTTAATGAGAACCAATACTGATTTGCGTTGAGATTTTGGTAATTTCAGTATGAGGTGTAAAAGAAAAATTGCCGTTAATGGCTAGTGTAAGTTTGGGCAAAGCAATATCCCGCAGTTGCGAAGCGTATAAAAGTGTAAAAGTTAACCGATGGTAGCTAAGGAGTGTAAATTCAGCTGTAGGTGTGAAAAATTTTATCTGATCAGGGTAGAATTCAGGAAAAACTGCGAAGCACTGTAATGTGTTAAAAAAAGCACATAAATCAATTCAAACGCACTAATTTATTTGTGTTCAAAAGATTTTGTTAAAAGAATAATGTCCTGAAGTTTGCTTGCATGAAGTACGTTAAAAAATCATCATTCCAAAGAGCTCAGTTTTCTATAGCACCTATAGAGTCCACAGCAAAGCTTGCTTTAACTCTTCCTGAAGATTCAAGCTGTTTTTTCTTAAGTGCAAGAAAATAGATGTTTGTTTGTCGAATCCTTTGCTAAACGCAATTCTCATTTTGTCTTCGTTGAATTACCAATTTAGATAACTGTAGCCTTGAAAAATTCAATCCAAACTGGATGCCGATTTGATTGCTTACAAAAAGTCGAGGGAGCCAAAAGCTAGTAAAATGAGAAAGGTCTTCAACGATCCTTTTTTTCAAATGTCTAAAAACTTGTCTGAGACAAGCGCGAGGGAAGCGAAAGAAAATCACATTTGAAAAAACTGTTTTAGTGGCAGAAATGTAAAAGAAGATTCTTTATTGAGAATGTAAGCAGTCTAGTAAAAAATTGGTATTTGGCAAAGTTTGGTGTAAAAAAAAAAAAATGAATGGCCAGCGCACGGGCTGCCCGTGCGAAGATGCGTTTTTTGCAGAGTT